GAAACACAGTAAGAGAAAAGGAATTTTATGAAATCCAGAACAGAACATAATAGATATCTAGAACATAGTCACATGGCCAAAAGGACAAACTGAATAAGGCAGAAGTATATCTGAAGAGATAATGTCCTAAAATTTCTGAAACGAATAAAAAGCATCAACTCACAATTTTGAAAAGCTCAATAACCCAGGTAGAATAAGTACAAAGAAAACTACACCAGGTATTTTCATATATAAAACCCTAATATGCAAATAGAACAGCGGAACAACTGAACAACCAAACAACCGGTCACTGTGATGTGCACTGACCACCAGAGGCACGTGCAGAACATGGCAGGCATCAGATGCAGTGGGATGGTGGAGCAGGTGAGTCGGGCAGCCAGACCAAGGCCAGTCCCAATTGCCCCTGAGGGCTTCTCCACTTCCCCCTGCTCCTGAGGGGCAATCAGGGCTGGCCGCCACCTCTTGTACCTGCTGCCAGGGACAGCCCCACTTGCACCTGCTGACAGCATTGGCCTGAGGGGCGATCGGTGCAGCAGTTGCCACTCTCACCCACTGACAGCACTGGCCCTGCTCACACCTGCTGCTGGTGCCAGCCCCAATTGCTCTGTGCCACCAGCATGTGGGAGCAGGGCTGCCAGCAGACAGGGGACTGGGGGCTGCAGCAGGAGGGGCCAGGCGGGGGGCACAGAGGGTGGGCCAAGACCCACCCCTGTGTCCCACCTCAGCCTTGCGGCCCACAGTTCCTTTCAAGGTGCACAAACTCGTGCACTGGGCTCCTAGTATCACAATGAAACTGCAGAAAACAAAGCCACAGAGAAAAATATGGAAATCTGCTAAAGAATAAAAGACATTACCTTCAAAGAAGCAACATTAAGAATTCTAGCTGACTATGGATATTAGAAAAACAATGGAATGATATTTAAAAAGAAAGGGGGGAAAAGGTCTTTACCAACCTAGAAATCCATCCCCAGCAAAAATATACTTCAAACATTAATATGAAATGAAGATGTTTCAGACAAACAAAAGCTGAAAGAATTCATTGCCAGCAGACCTATACTATATATAAAATATACTAAAAAACTTTTAAATGAAGAAAAATAACCTTAAACAAAAGCATGGAATTACAGGAAAGAATATAGAGCACTGAAAAGTATGAATATATTGATCTAGAATATATTCTGGAATAAAAGCAGTCCTTTAGAAATTATTAAATTTCATTCCTATGGTACATAGTTCTAGAAAAAAAATAAAAAACAGAACACTGTCCTTGAAAAAAAACACCTAACATGGAAAAAAAAAAGATGCTATTTTAACATTCTTTGAGCTAGGGACTACTGCTAAATGCTAGGGATACAAACCTGAATAAGACAGAAGTCCTTGCTCCTCAAAGGGCTCATAGTCTACTAACAGCAACAAACTAGCTTTGCCCCCCCCACACACATTTACTAAAGGCAAAATAAGAGACCTGTTTTTAGTCCAAAGTAATATCACATATACTGTATATATGTACAGTGCATGTTTCGTTTATATGTATTCTCTCTCACATGAACACACACATGTAAAATCTGATCTTTGTGAATACTTTGAGAGCTAGGTAAGATATACATTCTCTATAATATAATTTTACAGATTAAAAAAAACGAGGTCGGTGAAGTTAAGCAATGACCTTATAACTAATACAAAGCAGAACAGCATTGTCTTGCAAGAATATGTGTTCTTTCTATACCTGCTACTCCATCATGATTTGGAACAAAAGATGTTTTTTTGTTTGTTTGTTTTTCTCCAGCTAAGTATTATACTTTACTTCAACTAGAAGATGGTTAACTAAGGCTCTAATGTATTTGGAAATAACTTATATTCTTAATGAATGAAAATGGACAACTTCTTTTCTTTCTTTTATAAACTAAGTCTACCTACCAAGAACACTGGATATTCAGTATGTCAAGACAGTGCTGCTTTAGCACAATATTATATCTACTTTGAACTTTGATATATAAGACTTTCATTTTATATATAAGACTTTGATATATAAGACTTTGATATATAAGCCACATCATTATAAATGTATGGTAAATTATACATGTATAGTCTATATATAGTCTATACATGTGTAGTATATATAATAGTATAGAGAGAGATATATAAAATTCACAGTGAATGAACTGTTGAACATCACTCCCTTACACTATTCATGTCCCCTGTGAAGCCAGAAGCAATACCAATGGTATTAGTTGTGGATGTAGTTCTCTCTTCCTATTTTCCCTTTCACTTGGCTGGAAGGATTGGTGCCAGGCCACTTGGAGCGAAGACTCTCTCACCAGCTCTAGTACATATATCCTATTTTGAGCTTTTTTTTGTCTAGGCTCTTAAGAGTTGAGGAATGGAGTCCTGGCCAGTGTGCTCAGTGGATTGGAGTATCATCCTGTACACCAAAAGGTTGTGGGTTCAATACCCAGTCGGGGTGTGTATGGGACATAGCTGATGGATGTTTCTCTTTCTCTCTTTCTCTCTCTCTCTCTCTCTTTCTCTATCTCTCTCTCTCTCTCTCTCTCTCTCTCTTCCCATCTTTAAAATCAATAAACATATCCTCGGGTGAGAATTTTTTTTTTTAAAAAAGAGAAAGAAATGTAGCTAGTGTAATGGAGAGACTGAATTTTAGAAAGTTGAAGAATGGAGGGACTAGAGTGAAAGTGAACAGCCCTGGTGATCATCTTTGATTTGAAATTCAGTGGGCCTATATAGCTTAGGTATACTATATACGGTCCAGGAGAGCTAACTCTTATTTACTAGAGGATACAAGTCTAAATATTGATCATTCTTTAAGAACAGAATTCACGGTGAGGCTCTCAGTAGACAGAGAAGTGCAGACGGAATTGGGACCTCCTGCTTCAGCAAGATCATGTTTCTCAGTATCACCTCAATGAACAGGGAGATCAGGTCTATACCCTGAAGAAGTTTGATCCTATTGGACAACAGACCTGCTCGGCCCATCCTGCTCGGTTCTCCCCAGACGACAAATACTCTCGACACCGAGTCACCATCAAGAAACATTTCAAGGAAGGTCCCTTAAATTTCATGTCTCTGCTGCCACCTGAGACCCCTCTGAGACTTTTCCGAAACCAAGCTTTTCAGTCTGTGAGCCTTGAGGCCTTCTTACCACCCTTGCTCTTTGGAATTGGTGTCATCATTACCTTAGACCAGTGATGGCGAACCTTTTGAGCTTGGCGTGTCAGCATTTTGAAAAACCCTAACTTAACTCTGGTGCCGTGTCACATACAGAAATTTTTTGACATTTGCAACCATAGTAAAACAAAGGCTTATATTTTTGATATTTATTTTATATATGTAAATGACATTTAACAAAGAAAAATCAACCAAAAAATGAGTTTGCGTGTCACCTGACACACGTGTCATAGGTTCGCCATCGCTGCCTTAGATCATGCTTGTATGAAGCAATCATGGTAGCACCCCCCCTTAAAGAAAACACGTTTGAGTCTACTTTTCGTATTGTGACTGTCACGTTATTAAAATGATTTGAAAGAGAAAAAAAAACAGAATTCACTTTAAAAGTCTATAAAAAATTCTCTATGAAAAAATTTCAGCATTAAACTCAGATAAATAGTATGAAGTTTTAAAAACTTAGGCATGCTAATACAATTTGTTATTATTTAAATAATTTCACCAAGTAATTAATTTCCATTGTGATTTACTATTATTCTAACAGAAACAAACAACTGGCTAGCAAAATAGGTAACTTGCAAGTATCTTTTTCTGAAAAATTTACTATTCTTATGTCTTCCTATAATACTACCATAATTGGAATTTATTTTTAAAATCACTAACTTTTTATAAATATATTTATTTACATTAATTTTAATGTCAACCACCATCCCTTCTTATGAGCTTTTAACCACTAGCCACATCGGTGTGAGAGAAACATTCTTTAAATCACTTTAAAAATATGCTTTTACTAATTTTTAGAAGGGAGAGGACAGAGATAAGCATCGCTGTGAGAGCGTAACATCGAACAGCTGCCTCCTGCACACCCCATACCGGGGATCAAGCCTGTAATCCAGCATGTGCCCTGACGGAATCCAAATGGCAACCCTTGGGTGCACAGGACGACGCCCAGCCAACTGAGCCACACCAGCCAAAGGAGAATTTAACATTCTTAATTGTTGGATTCATTTAGGAAATTTTTATTTAGTTAACATTCCTCATTTCTATTTGCCAAATATATATTTTTTAATATGCTGCTTTTTTTTTACTATGTATTATCTTTCCATTCAAAAAGTTGAGTCCCGAGAAGAAACAGAAGAAAACAATAAAGAAAAAGCTTAATATTGGGAGGTATTCAATAAGCGTAAATTAATCTTTCTATAAAAAATGATTCTTTATGCATATTATTCTGGTGGCCTGGATTTTCTGTACACGTGTGTGTTGTTTTTTTAAAATAATATTTTATTGATTTCAAAGAGGAAGGAATAGAGAGACAGAAACATCAATGATGAGAGAGAATCATTGATCGGCTGCCTCCTGCAGACCCCTTATTGGGGGATTGAACCTGCAACCCAGGTATGTGCCCTGACCGGGAATTGAACTGTGATTTCCTGGTTCATAGGTCGATGCTCAACCACTGAGCCACACTGACCGGGCTCAAAGCTCCTTAAAAGGTTTTCCAGCCTGGGCTGATTTGGCTCAGTAGATAGAGCATCCGTCTGCAGGCCAAAGGGTCCCGGGTTCCATTCCGGTCAAGGGCACGTACCTTGTTTGCAGGCTCCTTCCCAGCCTGGGCCCTGGTTGGGCACATGCAGGAGGCAACCAACCAATGTGTTTCTCTCACATCGATGTTTCTCTCTGTTCTTCCCCGTCTCTTCCCCTCTCTCTAACAGATCAATGAAAAAATATCCTTGGATGAGGATTAACAACAACAAACAAAAAAATGTTTTCCAGAAAAAGTAGAAAATTAAGTTTTCAATACTCTTGTATATGATACTCACTCTTTAAGGCTATCAGACCGCCTCCTATTTCTTCCCCAAGAAGAACTTCTACTTCGAGTTCTCCGTTGGCTGGGGCTTCTTGACCTCCTATGGTCACTTGGAGAACAAGGGTGACGTTCTTTTGATTTCATTTGGCCTGGTGCTAGATAGAATATGAAGTGCAAGACCTCAGTCACAACCGCTCAAATCGTATTATTTTCTAAAAGAATTTTAAACTAAAAAATCTGTCATTGCTAAAATTCATTCTGCTGAATAAACAAGATCTAACATTTAGTCACACTTACTTTTGCGGTCACCTTGTGCAAACTGTATTTCAATTTGACGGCCACATACCCATTTTCTATTGAGGTTATAAAGAGCATCTTCAGCATCTCGAACATCTTCAAATATGACTAGCTGTTAAGGACACTTTGAATGTCAGATATCAAGTAAAAATGTTATTTTAAAAGAATTATTTAGGTGACAGAAAATTAATAGAGAAAACAAGTTCAAGTTATTAAGCTCACATCTACAATATAATATGAATAATCAAAAAAATTTTTACTTTCATTATGAAAACAAATGCTCATTATGATTTAAAAGAGTGAATCTAAAAATAAAAAATGTGCAACTGTATTTTAAATGTATACATTAGTATAAATGTATAATTTATGCTGTATAAATGTATAATTTCAAACATGTAATGAGAACAAAATACTAGTAAGTCCAACACTGCCCTTCTCTCAGGTAAAAAATTCACCAGGTTTTTAACTAAAAGAAATCAGCATGCAGAAGCCTGTATTCTAAATTTAAATTACTCTTTTCAGCGAAAAGCTTTTTAATTATGATATTTTGGAGCAATTACTTGTAAACAAAATGCACACACATAACTGAGCTAAAAAACACATTTTCAAAACTGATTCAGTTCTTTAAAAATGATATTTACCTTTGAACCTACTGCTTTAAAATACCTTTATACTTTTATTACTTGGGGTATAAAAACATAGAAGTAATCTGTAAACATATGGAATTACATATATTGGTTTGTAATAACCCACTAAACTCCCTTATCTATGTAAATTATATATTAAACCTAACTAAAATAGAAATAAGCTATATAAAATGAAGAGCTGTATTTTAGGAGGTTATTCACTGGTTTAATTTTTTTTTAATAGAAAACAGAAAAAGCCAAGAAATGCAATACAATATGAGACTTTGGCAATTACCTCAATGTCACTTGATCTTGAACCTTGACCTTTACTCTTTAAGGCTTGCAAGATGGACTTTATAAGAGACGAAGAACCAACAAAATCAGACTTGGCTTTGACTCTGGAACTCTGAGTAAATGTAGGAAAGCCGAAGTCTCAACCTGGTGTTGGCTTTGTCTTTTGCTTGATAAAGACTTCCCTCTTCCAGGTCTTTATCTCTGTGTCCACCCTCCCTCTTTACTCCTTGATGCTTGAACTTTAGGTGCCTTTTGTCTCGCCTGCTCGGTTTATGCTCGGATTCTAGCTAACAGGTTGGTTCAAACTGGGGGGCTCTTGCCAGCTACAGTGGACTGCTTTAGATTTTCTGAGATAAAGAAATAAACACATTTAATTAGGCAATATTAATCTCATAACATATGTTCCTGAATACATATATGTAATTTGCACATGTATGTAGTATATTCAAATGCACAGAGTAAAATAAAGGATATTGAACATAAGCAAATCCTCTTGGGCGGCGGGTGTAGAAGTCAAGTGGAATGTAAACGTCTACTATAGGGCCATACCGACCAAACTCACGACGCAAGTCCTCAGGCCTGAATTGTTTTAGAAATAAGGCAAAGAAATATGAGTAGCTGGATTAAAATATCATGCCTACAGAAATCCAGTTGAAACCCTCAAAAGAAAGTACATTCTCTGTACTAGCATTACCTAAAATTATCTCTCAGAAGACTCACCCAGGGTTCACAAATGAAAGAGGGAAAAAAAGAAGAAAAATTCTCAGGCCTCACTTTCAGAGATTCTGGTTCAAGAAGTCTGGATTAGAGGCTGGAAATCTCTATTTTAACAAGCACTCCAGGTGGCTGTCATGGCTACTCAGGTTGGAGAAACAATGACCCACATCCACCCCAAAGTTATTCCTATTACAAGATTTTTCAATGGTCATATAAACAGCCCTATTAACTATTTCATTAGGAACACACTCATTTGCTTCATTAGAATTTCATGTTTATGTTAGATTGTTTTCAGAGCACAAGAATTAAAATTTAAAGAAGTCCTAAAATCTCTCAGCCACTGAACAGTGGTTGAACATCAACCTATGAACCAGGAGGTCACAGTTCAATTCCCAGTCAGGGCACATGCCCAGGGTTGCAGGCTTGATCCCCAGTATGGGGCGTGCAGGAGGCAGACGATCAATGACTCTCTTTCATTGATATTTCTCTTTCTCTCTCCCTCTCACTTCCTTCCTGAAATCAATCAAAATATATATTTAAATAAGTCCTAAAATCATTTCTCAGGTTTTGAAGAAAGATGGGTATTTTACATTAAGCATAAAGCAAAATAACTACTATGTTCTCAAATGTGACAAATATTTTTGAGCCTCCTATATGATTTTACTGTGACAGATATTAAAGAGGGGATACCCAAGACATACATAGCTTATTTATCTTCATAGAGCTACAATTTAACTGAAGAAACAAAATACTTAGCATTGATATCTGACAGTTATGGTGCATTTATATGCTAGCTTCTGCTTACCCTACCACCAATTCTCACAACTCCATGGTTGTTTACAGATGAGGGCACAGGCAGATTAACTCACTTTGGTCACTGAGCCAGCAAGTGACAGAACTGGAATCAAACTCCCACAGTCTGACACTAGTCTGTGTTCTTTTCATTTATTTATTTATTTATTTTTATTCATTGACTTATTTGAGAAAGAAAGAAACATTGATTTGTCATTACACTATTTGTGCATTCACTGGTTAATTCTTGTATGTGCCTTGACCAGGGATTGAACCTGTAACCTTCACGTATCAGGACAACACTCTTAACTGAGATAACCAATACTGTGTATTTCTTCATGGAAACCTTAAGAAATTCAGCATCAAGCTATGGGCACAAAACATGGCTTTTATTTTTAAAAAATATATTTTTATTGAGTTCAGAGAGGACGGGAAAGGGATAAAGAGAAACATCAATGATGACCCCAATACAACATTGTTCCTATAGTAACAGCAGAAAGAAGCAGCTGTGAGGAGCTCGGCTCCTCACAGTGAGGATCTGAGCTATGTGCAGGAACTCCCATTAATTGAGATTTTTCATTCTGTTTTATCAGAGCGCAGATAGGTCTTATTTCAGGAAAAGTAAAACAGTCATTTACAAAAATCAATCTGTATCCTAAGCATTTAATAAAAAGTTAAAACAAACAAAAATAAATTAATTTTTTTTAAAAAAAGAAACATCAATGATGAGAAAGAGTCATCGATTGGCTGCCTCCTGCATGCCTCTCACTGGGGATTGAGCCTGCAACCCCAGCATGCATCCTGGCCAGGAACTGAACCAACAAACTCTTGGTGAATGGGTGAAGCCTCAACTACTAGGCCACAGCTGGACCCTTTATAGTTTTATCTTTCACACTTCAACTGATAATCCAGTTCAAATCGTGATGTGAACTAGAAGTTACAGTTAATTTTCCCCCTATATGGATATCCAGTTATTATGGCATCATTTGTTTAAAAGACTCCTTTCTCCACTAAATTGCTTTGATGCCTTTGTCAAAATCAATTGACTCTGTAAGTGTGGATTATTTATGGACTCTCTATTCGGTTCTATTGATCTACTTGTATGTCCTTAGGCCAGTATCACACTTTCTTGATTACTGTATCACTTAGTAAGTCTTTAAGCCTTTAAGTCAGTAGTATAAGTCTTTCAGTTTCAGTAAGATTTTTCAAGACTCTGGCTATTCTAGATCTTTACACTTTTAGAATTGACTTGTTAGCTTCTATATTTTAAAAAGCCTGTGATCAGGAATGCTTTGAATCTATAATATAATCAGTTTGGGAGAAAAATTAAAAACTCAGTATTTTGTCTTTTAATCCAAGAACATGGTATATCTATCAATTTATGTTGGTCTTTTTATTTATTTTATTTGATTTTTTAGAAAGAGAAAGTATCAATTTGTTGTTCCACTCATTTGTGCATTCACCTACAACCTTGGTATACTGGGAAGATGCTCTAACCAACTGAACTATCCAGCCAGCACTTAGGTTGGTCTTTTTAATTTCTCTTGGCAATATGTTGTTTTCAGTGTAAAGATTTGTTGTTGTTGGTTGTTGTTAATCCTCACCGGATATTTTTTCCATTGATTTTTAGAGGATATTTTTTCCATTTTTTTTTTTAGAGAGAGTGGAAGGGAGGAATAGTAGGGGAGAGGGAGAGAGAGGGAGAAAGAGATTGAGGGAGAGAGATTGCTGTGAGACACACACTGATTAGTTGCCTCCTATACACGCCCTGATCGGGGCCAGGGATTGAATCTGCAACCCAGGTATGTGCCCTTGACTGGAAATCGAACCTGGGACCCTTTGATATATGGACCGACACTCTAACCCCTGAGCAACTCTGGCCAGGGCTAATTTGCTTTTTTAATTTGCCTCATAGAGGGGTTCTGAACTTGATTCCCTATGTGCCCGACAGGGGATGAACATCCAACCTAGGCATGTGCCCTAATGGAGAATCGAACCAGTAATCTTTCGGTGTACTGGATAATGCGCCAACCAACTGAGCCACCCAGCCAGGACTTATTAGTTGATTCTTGTATGAGTCCTGACGGGATGGATCCCGCAAGTGGGCGTATGGAGACAATTCTCTAACCTGCGCTATTCAGCCAGGGCTCAGTGCAAAGTTTTAACATTTTGGTTTGTTGTTCTTAAAATGGTGTGTTGTTGTTATTCTTAAGTATGTTTTTGACATTAACATAAATGGAATTTAAAAAATATTTTACTATTTTCAATTATTTGTTGTTAATATATAGAAATAGAATTTTATTAAGTTTACCTTGTATCCTGATGTGTTATTAAAACTGATTGCTAGTTACCATAGTTTTATGTAAACAAACATGTCATCTAAGAATAGGGACAGGTTTTACTTCTATGTTTATAATTTTTATGTCTTTTATTTATTTTTCTTGCCTTGCTGCACTGGTTAGGATCTGCAATAAAATGCTAAATGGAGGTTGTGAGCATGGACATCCTTGTCTTAATCTGATATTAGGGAGAAAGCATTCAATTTTTACCATTAAATATGGTGTTAGCTGTAACTTTTTCATAGGCTGAGGAAGTCCCCATTTATTTCTAGTTTGCTGATACTTGTTGAATTCATGAAATCTTGTTGAATTCTAATGCTTTTTTTTACATCACCATCAATGTTAACATCAATATAGTCTCATATACACTGTAACCAAAGAATACTACTAAGTATGTCCAAGAGAAGTACTGATCATTCCTCCCCAACCTAACATGATATTATACATCAAAATGGTAGTGTTATATTTGGAATTTGACATTACTTTGTTCCATTAGAAAACTGTATTGGAGATTTTTGTAAAATTACTCTTCTACACAATAAGAAAGCAAAGATATTAAAATTAATATTCTGCCCTAACCGGTTTGGCTCAGTGGATAGAGTGTCGGCCTGCGGACTGAAGGGTCCCATGTTCGATTCCGGTCAAGGGCATGTACCTTGGTTGTGGGCATATCCCCGGGGGGAGGGGGGTGTGTGTGCAGGAGACAGCTGATGGATGTTTTTATAATATATAAAATATAAAAAGAAAAAAAAGCTCTACTTTCAGAGCAAACTTTAAAATATAAATATGTAAAGCTTTTATTTTCTTTTTATATTTTTATTGATTTCAGAGAGGAAGGAAGAAGGAGAGAGAGAGATAGAAACATCCACGATGAGAGAGAATCATTGATTGGCTGTCTCCTGCACACCCCACATTGGGGATCAAGCCTGCAAACCAGGCATGTGCCCTGACTGGGAATTGAACCATGACCTCCTGGTTCATAGCTCGACGCTCAACCACTGAGCCATGCCAGCCGAGTGTAAAATATATTTTTAAGTCTTTCTTTAGTTCTTATGTTCAACTGCATTCCTAACAAATTTTATACTAACCCATAGTGACTCGTAATGTCTTGTCCATTATCACACATATTAAAATGGCCACTTCAAAGAAACATTTTAAATAAATTTTGGCTTTGTTATAAACACTTTTAAAAAATATATATTTTATTGATTTTTTACAGAGAGGAAGGGAGAGGGACAGAGGGTTAGAAACATCGATGAGAGAGAAACATCCATCAACTGCCTCCTGCACACCCCCCACTGGGGATGTGTCCACAGCCAAGGTACATGCCCTTGACCAGAATCGAACCTGGGACCCTTAAGTCCTCAGGCCGCCGCTCTATCCACTCTGCCAAACCAGTTAGGGCTGTTATAAACACTTTTACTAAAGAAAATTTGAAAACAGTAAAGAGAAAAACCACTCAAATAGATTTCTTTCCAAGCTCATTTTTTATATGTAGTTTCTCCTTTCCTCATTTTTAGGTAATTGAAATCATACAGTATATATTTTATAACCTGTTTGTTTTGTTTTCACATTTATGCCAATGATTTTCTTTATAAGCATCCTAAATGTCAAAGCTAATTTTAATGTCTAGGTGTCATACTGCTAGTTAATTTACACTATATGCCACTTTGTACAAAAAAGTATAGGTTACATGTGTAGTATAGATTACATGTGTGATTCTACTTTCATAACACTTCTCAGCAGCTGTGCAATCTTAGGCAAGATAACTTAATTTCTCTAAGCCTAAATTTCTTATCTGTAAAATGGAATTATTAAGAAACATATATTATAGATTTATTGTGAAAATTTAATTAATAGGGGTAGTGTTTAGTATAGCACCAGGGACATAGTGAGTACTCAAAAATGTTAACAATTATTATTTCATTAATACAATCCTCCTAGATTTTGATTGTCCCCCAGTAGCAGAGTTAAGAAGTGGTGAAAAATGGAAAAGAAAATCAATAAACCTCAATTATCAGTCTTGATTACTTAGAGGTGGATTATCTAGATTAGAGGTCATGTGTCACCTGCAGATCAAGTGTCACCTGTAACATGCGTTTTATTTGGCCTGCACAATGTTTAAACAGAAAAACACACACACACACACACACACACACACACAAAACACACCCTGCTGAAACATGAAACTGCCAATATTTTACATCTTTTATTTTTTAAATTTTTATACGTTGTTTCTGCCAAACTGAAGACAACTGCCAGGAGGCAAGATGTCAAATGCAGTATTTCACAGCTTTTAAATCTACAACAATTGGAATTTCATATGCTTTAACTTAAAAAATGCTACCACTTTGAAACAGAGCATTTACGCAAAATACTAGTTTCTGACTTGTTTTGAAAATCAGGAAGATATGGCAACAAGTCTATATGTCTACATGCTAGCTATCAGCTGGAGCTTAGTAGCAGCTGCTGTCCCTAGGAGATGGCACATCTTGTTTTCCATTTGCTAGTCCATACCACCCTATTGTGTCATAACCTGACAACCTCACTCATTCCTATTACCCTGGATGGC